AGAATTATAGTGTTTAAAGTTTATATGTTGTGGAGGTATGTTCAGGCTATTCGGGACTTCACGGAAGTCCTGCGATTCAGCTGGATCACAAAATGCTCGGGGGCACAGAGCTTCAGCATTTGGGGTTTAGGGCTTACGGTTTTGGGCTATTTGGGGTTCATGGTGGTCTGCCAGCTGCTCTGGCCCCCCAGGACGGTAAGAAAGTGTAGAGTTGTGGAATCGAAGCCTACTGTTTTAAAGGCTAGCTCCTTTCAGAAAGGGATCGTAGCCGACTATGTTGTAGGCTTTGGGGCCAAAGGTAGCCGTCAACCAATAGCTTCAACCCACCCATCTAGGTTGTAACCGGAAGCAGGCCCGGTGTTATGCTTACATACTCACATCAGCACAGTTCTTGATCTATGTGGGTTTAACTTGTTCTAGGGGGTAAGCAGTATGATCTACTCTGGTGATTCTTCGTAGGATTGCCCCTAGGACTAGTGAGATGCCCTCTGACACTCCCGACCTTTGCAACTCCCAACTAACCTAGAAAGCAAAAGCCCACGAGCTCTGCATCTGCCTGTCGAGCCCCAATTGGAAGAAGCCGACAGTCCGTGGAAGGCAAATTTCAACGCTTACATAATGCCTTTCATAAAGCCTTTACGAAAGCTTTGCTATATAGGTTTGGTGCTGAGGGGCTGAGGGTGTGTCGGTGCAGTGGCATGTATAGTGCATACATAAAACAGCTGGACTTCGAGTTGTGGAGCCTGCAGCATACGAACAAATCATGCCCAACAATGGTTTAATACACTCCTCCCTTCTTCTAGTCAGTAAGGCTACGACGACGACGACGACTACTACTACTACTCCTGCTGCTGCTGCTACTACTACTACTACTACGACGACGATGACTGCTACTACTACTGCCCTACATCGTTTGCTTGTAGTTAGAAACGATTTGAACTTCCCTAAGCCTGAAACCCTAGCGCCTCAATTCTCAACCCTTTAGGGTTTAGGGTTTTAGTGTTTAGGGTTTAGGGTTTTAGGGTTTAGGGTTTAGGGATTAGGTTTTAGGTTTTTAAATTTAAAGATTCGATCATCTCAGCTGGCACCGGGGGGATCACTTCACGACCTCCTCCACCTCAAGCGAGTCGCTCTCGGGGAGGCGGGTTTGACCGGATAGCTGTTGTATATGTATATCTATATGTTTATGTATATATAGATATATACATAGTTATGTTCATGTATATATATATAGATGTAGACATATGTATGTACACACTTTAGTATAGCAAAATAGAAACATAATCTAATATGACATATAAGTATATATGCATATATACTTATGTATGTATCTTTCAAGGCATTCCGTAGCAGGGGCTTTAGAAGTGTTAGAGCGGCTTTCAAAGGCTAGTTGTTGTTTATCGTAGGGTTTGTAGGGCACATTATAACAGTTGTTCAACCTGATCTCCATAAGCTTCCAAATGCTATTGCAGGGTTTGGGTTTTGGTTTCACGCCGTTATAAAGTGTAAGTTACGAAGCTTGTTGGAACGCTTTGTTGAAGATTTGCAAGGTCGAGAGATGTTTGCAAGGGTTTAGGCGACTAAACCCTAAACCTTAAACCCGGGTGAGGGGTTTAGGGGTTGAGGCTTTCTCGTGGAAGGGGTTGGGGGGTTAGGCTGTAGGGTTTGCATTGCCGAGGTTCAGGCTTTGTGCTTTTGTATGTTCAGCCCTGTTCTGTGCTCTGTTTGTTGCTTTTCTTGGGGGAGCGGGAGGGGTTGAGGGTAGGGTTTGGGTTTAGGGTCCTGAGTTCAAGGCCAATACGCTCAAGATTGGGAAAATCTCGAACCTCGTTGCTACACGTGTCCTGGAACTTGCTTCAGACATCAGTTTTGTGAAACGCAGGACTTAGAGGATCAGAAAGTAACCCCTTGTGCCAGCCAGATTCCGAGAATTGTTTGCTCTTTGTTATGCATTGTTCGCCTCTCATGCAGCGGGCGTTTCACGTTGTTTCTAGTAGGGGGTGGGGCGCATGTTGAGCTGAGCAGCACTCCAAAGCTTAGCTGCTAGCTGACCACCTATAGCCAGCGCATCCCGAAAGCATGTTGCTGTTGGCCAAAAGGCCAAACAACCCTGAACAAATTCTTGAAAAAGCCCCAAACTCTTGCGCTAGCTGAACCGCACCTGCACTGGGCGCTCCTGTGGCAAGATGGTGCGGTCCATGGCATGGCGGGTGCACCTCTCAGCCTGCGCTGGCCAACGGCACCGGCCACGCTGCCCGATGCTGGGCTCTTGATTTGCTACCGGTTAAGCTTACTGCTAGTCTGTTACTGTGCTTGTCCGTGGTATGGGTTTTTTTAGTTACCTGCCTCAACAAGAACACAGGATGCGAGCTCAAGGCTTACATGTGCACGGATACACCCGTGGTTGGCCAGGGAAGAGCCTTGGCAAGTCTGTGCGACTTAGTTATGGCTTGAGTCTTAAGGGGTAGGGCTTTAGTCTCTCGGGGTTAGGGTCCAGCATCACGCCAGATTAAAATTTGTAATGGTGTTATATGAAAGTCCTCGTCAGTGCCAGACAAGGTTGGCATTTCAAGCGTGCTGGGAGCTTCCCCCGTTCCCATACAAGGCCGCTGCATAATATAGGGGCCTGAATAATTCTAACTCGACCCTAAACCCTAAACCCTAATTATTAAGGCCCGTATCTTAACAGAAGGCAGGGTCGCAGCAGGCGACCATCGGAAGTGGTTAAGTTCTAGATGTGTTTGCCTGAGGGTACCTCTCCCGGTGCGCAGGCACTGCGTCGCAAATACATGAGACTTACCTACTTGTGGGGAACACGTAACTAGCAAGCAAAGGCACAAGTTACAAGTTGTAAACCCTGGGATAGCACGGAGGTCAATGATTTGCAGCAAGCCCCAAGTGTTACCGGGAACCTGCAGGACCTGCCAGGCTGTGAAAGCGACTGGAGGATGCTAGTGTTGCTCGTGCCGTTTGGTTTCTTCTAAGATAGCTATGCTAAGTATTTGGGATCCGTGTTTTGCCTAAGAAGAATGGAGCGCTCTCCAGGACTGGCAGGACTTTCTGTGCAGCCTCTCCTTGCGAAAGAACAGCCGGGAGTTGCAGCCAGACGCAACAAGACAGAATCTGGTCTGCAAGGTTCTGCGACCTGCTTTCTAGTCTGGTGTCGTTCAGCTTTTCACGTCCGGCCTTTTAATTCCGTCTAGCTCTTTCTTTCTTAAGACCTCAGGGCGTGCCAAATCCTTCGGTTTGCCCTGTAAACCAAAATCCCGGTATATCGGCAATCGGACAGTGCAGTCAGGTGTTGTTTTGAGGCATGTTTGGGTTCCATCGTCGCTGTCAAGATTTATCAATATCGCTGTCATCAGTTATGATCATCGTTATGGTTATCGATGTCAGCCTCACCATCATTATAATTGTCGCGTTCATTGGTCATTATCATTGATTTACCATCATCATTGCCATTACCACTGCCGCTTCTATCATTGTCATGACGATTCTGGTCTTGATGCTGACTACACACATACAACCATACACACATCTGTGCATACATGTGTGTGTGTATATATATATATATATGTGTGTGTGTGAGAATATGTGTATATATATATATGTGTGTATATGTGTATCAGAATATAATACAGTGTCGTATAAGATAGTGAAATTGAGTATAATATCAGGAAGTGTAATGTGTTATAACATACAGCTTGATACAATATAAAATCATAGCAGGTCATATCGTACCATATCATATAGTATGATACTATAATATCATGTCATATAGTATGATATAAAACATACTGCAATTTAGAAGAGTGTAACGTAAGGCAATATTGTGTACTATGGTATACTGTACTATAATATCATATTAGTTCAATATAGTATAATGTAATATACAATTATGACAGATAATATAATTTAGATACACATACAACATGTTGTGATAAATGTATTGATCTATTTATGCCTCTCTCTCCCCCTTTCTCCGCGCACGGATCCGTGTGCAAGCCTTCGGTGTGGAATGTACTTTTTTGCTCATAGTATAAACATGCCGCTTACTCAGTACTCCCCGGACCTTATCCCCGAATGCTGAAAGACCCGAAGCCTCAAGGCCGAGTTCCTTGTAGGGTTTAGGGCTTAGGGCTTAGGGGTTTGAGGGTTTAGGGCTTCGGGGTTCAGGGTTTAGGGGTTTAGGGGTTAGGGCTTAGGGTTTAGGGTTTAGGTTGTCTCCAGGAGCGAGCTCCCCTCGCGCAAGATGCCTTCTTTCCACCGTGTCGCGTGCCACGGCACGTCAAGACGGAGAGCGCGTTCGCGTAAGTATGCTGCGCCCTTCTGCGCGGTAAAGCGAGCAGCAGCCTTGCCATGAGCCTACTGGTTCGTTGGCATCACCTTCTCAGCGCTAGGACCAGCGTGACAGCCACCCTGAACTCTAAACTGCATGAAATCGCGAATCTGTGAATGCACCTAGTGGCAGCATCAGGACAAATTAGTCCTGGAGGGCTTCGCTTTCCGAGCTTCAGGGCTTCAGGCTTTGCATTCTCAGGGTCAACTAGGGTTTCAAAGGGTTTCGGGTAGTAGGGTGCTGAGGGTTTCTGGGGCGGTAGCGCAGGAGACTACAGCATCCTATTTCCGAGGGAAGGTGGTCTTAGCCATGCTCTGGCATTGGAGATATCGCTACTCGCCTAGGCAAGAAGAAGCTCTGTTTGGATCAGGGGCCTGTGGCCGGCATCCTATGACGCTGAGACCTAAACCGTGAAGACCGGGAACCCGAAGATCCGTTTCGAGTTGCTCTAGGTACTCTGGGTGTGCAGAGTCCAACTTGGAGGTTCATGGGTAGTGCTTAGTGGGGTTATAAGTAGGGTAGCCATGATTTTCGGATTTATAAGTCTAATTATAACTACCCAATGAGCCTCCAAGAAAGGACCGGGTTATCTTTCTACGATAGTTCTGCGAGCAGAGTACTGCAGCACTCCGACGGTTCGTTCATCCATCCAAGTCCGAAGGTATGTGAGCAATGCGGGAGCTGAAGCGGCTGAAGCGCTTGCAGGGGAACTGACCAGCGAGATTTGGCAGGCCACCCAGCGCCCTCCGCGTATGGTGATTGCTGTGTCATGATTCCGAGGGAGGGATTATTATTACAAATCCATCAGTAATCCATCTATAGCTTGAGCAAACTGCTAACTGGGAGATTGCAACAGAAACCTTCAAGGAATGCTCAAGCAATTGTACAAGCAAACATTGGGCCGCCTAGGGGCCATGTTTCAGATTGAGACTGGAGACACTGTTGTGAACTCCAGAAGGTTGGACTACGAGATCACCACGATTTCATGCTGTAACTTGCTATGCTTTGCCTGAGAGGGATGTCGAGTACTCATGTTCCAACCCTCTGGCTTCTGCTGTATAGTTTCGGGGTTTTGGGTCTGTAGAGGTCAGGGTCATTATCCTTCCTTGGCAGCGTTGAAAGGCAACCGGCCAGGCAGCATCCCCCCTCAGAAGGACAAGACGTAGAAAGGCCTAGGGTGCAGAATTTAGTGTTTGGAGCTCCATAGTTCTCAGGGCTAAAGCTAAGAAGAGTATCCATAAACCCTATAAACCCTACACCCCTAAACCCTAAACCCCCCTAAGCGGGGTTCCTTTTCACACCGACCTTCGCACCATGAACCTCGCCTGGCTTGTCCGAGTTGTGAGAGCGTAAAGCCCCCTAAGCTGGCTCGTTCAGGAGCTGCAGCAGCAGGGCGTGACCTGCGACTCCGTTGAGAAAGTCGTTCGAGATCTAGGTGTGCTTTTGCTGGAGCTGGGAAGCAAGGCTCGCTGGGCTCGGGGTCACGGGAAACTTGGGGGCGTCAGCTCTTGGGGTTTAGGAGTTTAGGGGTTAAGGTTTGGGGTTTAGGCTCATAGTTCTAGGGTTTCCGCTGGTGTAAGTTTTCATTCTGTGTGCGTGCTTTATGTTTTAACGGTTAAATTTTAACGATTCCCCAAACACTCGGCCCTGTTGGGTTTGGGTTGGAGAGGTTGCGGGCCGTGTGGTGAGGATGTCTTGCAATGATTTTCTCTGCCTCCGAGGGCAGGGGTTTTGGGATGTTTGAGTGTTTGTAGCGGTTCCTCTCCGAGCTCCTACAGCTTGTGGGATTTAGGGATTTACCTCTAAGGCCGAGGTTTCGGGTTTTCGTCGAAATCTCTGACCTTAGTTGTGGAGCCGCTGGTATGGGGTTTTAGGGCTTGTGAACCTTAAACATCTGTTCATGGGATGGTAAGGTTAGTCATCTCAATCCCTCAGCTCTGCGTCTTAAGGCAAGTCTCCAGTTTCCCGGTAAGTTGGTAAGCATAGCATGCACAACACTGCGGTGGATCACATAAGCCCCTACTTACAACTATACGCAAACTTCAAGCACCTGCATGTGGGTTCTCTTGAATTGGCGCATATTGGAGCTCTCTTCAAGCCTCCCTGTCCACTCGTAGAGTATCCTTAGCTGAGGGCTCAAGTCCAAAGGGGTTCCAAGTATCCACCAGCCCACTCCCCCCTACACGACTCAAGCCAGACGCTCAGTCAAGATCGCCAGTTGGAGAATCCTTCAACTCCAAACCCTAAGCCCTAAACCCCTAAAGCCCGAAACCCTAAACCCTAAAACCCAAAACCCCAAACTCCAGATCCCGAACAGGAAATCGTAGATCCTACACCCGAAACCCCAAAAAATCTCCGATCCGAAGCCATGCGCTTCATTCCTAACTCCTCGCCTGGACGAAGTGAAACGCGCCGAATGGTAAGTCTGTACTTAATCTCAATCTGGACCCCTAAGAACCTGTCCTGTTTAGGGTTCCTTATTATGATGTCTTTATATAAGTCCTTAAAAAGGTAGGTTATTTGGGGTTAAGGAAAGCCAACCTACGAAAAGCAAAGGTCTTCTTGCTGAACTCAGAGCCCTAGGCCCGAAGCCCCAACACCTGACTCCGACACGGAAAAGCGGCCGAAATGAGCACTAGTCCAAGTGAACCCGGTGAAGACCTGAGCGGATTCATCGGGAAAAAGGAGCTCCCCCCAGAAAAAATCTCCTAAACCTCAACCCAGAGGCCTTCCTAAACCTTAAACCCTAAACCCTAAACCCCAAACCCTAAACTCTCTAACATCAACCCAAGAGGCCTTCCTCTTCGGCCTAGAGAAATGCGTCGTCGCGCAGCTCCTTGCGCAGATCGAACAGCGGGAAATGGTCGCGGAGACTCGGTGCAAAAGGGCTTTATATGCATGTACATGAGGCTTTATACGATTTGTTTGACGGGTTTTGTGAAATGGTTACAGCTTGCAGTAGGGCTGCAGCAGGTTTTAACAGGATTTTCGACTTGTTTATAGAGGTGCTAGAATTGGGTGTATCAGGGTTTCTAGGCGTGTGTTAGTGGGTCTACAGGATGTTTTGATGTAGGGACCTTTATCATCAGAGTGGAGTTGGGGCTTCTCAGGGATTGAAGGGTACATTATTGCCAGTCCTGTTGGCTTCCATATTGTTGGGTTTCAGATCATCTCAGAGCACGGTAAGCCTGAAATTCTAGACCCACCCTCCATTGACATTGCTGCTTCGGAAAGTAGTCGAGCTGGCATAGTTGGACACAGAGACCTCGTCTGGCGGAGTCCGAGTTGCGAGAGCGTAAACCCACCAGCCACCCAAATCACTTGTTTCTTGGGGCGGGGGTTTGGGCATGCATTGGAACCCTTCAAACTAACCAAAACTGGCTTGAAGGCGGGCGGCGAAGGCGGTCGAGCCCTATAAACCCTACAGGCCCAAAGCCGCAAAACGATAGCTTCTATTCAAGCCCCTGGCTTTGGCGGCCGCAACACTCCCTGTAATGAAGAAGCCCGAATTCATTACCAATAGTATTCCCCAGGGTTCTTTCTTCGAATTATACAATGAAGGAACCAGAACTCTATTCAAATTATTAAGGCCCCCTACATTAAATCTATAGAATTTGTCGATTCCTTATACTGTAGTCAGTGTTCTTAAGGAGCAAATCGGTTGTATTTCAGGGCACTTAAGTATAGAGCCGGTTAAAAGTAATGATAAGAAAAATAACAAGAATAGTAATAACAATAGTCATCATAATAATAATCATAAATAACTATCATAATAACAATAATAACAACAACAATAGCATTGATAATAACCATAATAAGAATAATAGCACTAACGATAATAGCAGGTCAAAGCCATCTTTCAGTTCACGCGCGACCTAAGTTTGGTCTCGCGAGGTGCTGTCCTTTTTTCTGACAGTCCGACTCTGCAGTGCGTACCCTAAACCCTAAAGCCTAAAGCCTAAACCGCCTGAAGCTATGCCTGCGTGGGCGAGTGTGTGAGTTGAAAGCCTAAACCCTAAAACCTAAACCCTAAACCCTGCAATGCGGGCTCGTCCTTGCTAAGTGGGAGGGAAAAAAAACCCTAAACCCTAAACACCTAAACCCTATAGACCCTTATAAACCCTAAACCCCAAGCTGCGTTTTCAAAAGGAGCCTGGCCCAAGTCTATCGGTGGGAGCGTTTGCCCTGGGCGTTTTCAGTTCCTGGCGGCGTCGATGTCGCTACCCCAAAGGCTAAACCCCATCCCAAGCCGCAAACCATGGCCCCAACTCGACAGCCCAAAATCCAAAACCTTTGAAAGCCAACACCCACACCGAAACTCTATTATGAAGCCTTTGTAGTATTTGTAGCTCTTGTGGATTTTTTGTGTGGTTCAATTGCACGACTGGACAAGGCCACCAAGCCTGGCGCAGAGGAGAAGAGCATAGCTGCAGCGGTTCGGGCTTGGGTGGAGGTGACGAGGGAGAGGAGTAAATTAAGTTGATAATGCGAAGGAACTAAGCCATAATGCCCTAGTCCCTCTAGACCCCCAAACCTCTACACCCAAACCCTCTAGACCCCATTTCGGATTTAGAGTTTTGGGTTAATGGGTGAGGTTCAGGGTTCAGGTTTAGGGTCAACAGAGCCCTGGACCCCGAAGCAGTTTGCTAGTGTTACTCTGCTAGAAACCCAAGAACCTCAACCCAAATCCCAAACCCTGAACCCCAACACAACAATCAACCACGAAGAGCCTTCGGCGAGCGCCCCAAAGAAAAAGTCCAAGTCCCAAAACACGGTAATTCGTTCAGCTCTGCTGCCACACCTAGCAGCCAGTATGGGTCATGACGTTTGGAATGTGGGAATGGCCTTGGGGTGTTTTTTGCCAGCAAAGCCACAAAGGACAGGAGAAAACCAACAAACTGACTCAATAGACCTCCCATACACACTTAGACAAACCCTTCCAAGTCAAACGCAACATCCTAAACCCTATAAACCCTCAAAGGGCTTAGGGTTTGGAGTTAAGTGTCTAGGGTTTACCCTAAACCCTAAGCTGTTTTCGTTCCTGAAGGAGCTCACGGAGCAGTTGGCGGTCCTCGAGAGAAGCCTGGCCACCGTCCTCGCCAAAGTGAAAGAAAGCCCGAAGCTTCGGTCGGCGCCTCAATTGGGTTTGGTTTAGGGTTTTCAAGTGTTTAGGGTCCTAAACCCTAAACCCTAAACCCCTAACCCTAAAACGGTTTAGGGTTCAGGATTTAGGGAGAGTGTAAACATGATACAATCGGGTTCACTTGACAGTTGGGTATCTAGTTCCTAGCTGGACGTGAAGGAGTAGGGAGTAGGGTTTAGGGCTCCGTAGTATAAGCCCTCCCCCCTCCGAGCTGCAGCTGAATTGCGCATTCGTCCTGTATGCTTGAAAAGCTAGGGATTAGGATTCGGTTACGGTGTCGGGCCGTGGTTCCAGTTATGATAGAACTAGAAACATTGGGGCCTTGGGGTAGAAGTTCAGGGGCTGTTCCAAATTGGCGCTGTCGTGACGGCACCTGGGGCAACAATGTCGTGATGGCACCTAGGGCAACATTAGTTTGTTGGATTGGGTTTTAAATAACGTGGGTGCAGTTTTCACAGACTTTCGGTGCAGTTTTATGAGTCCTCAACGAGAGAGACTGTTCAGGGTCCCTTGCTTTAAAGCGTCGTCACCTGGCTTGTGTATGCTCTCCATGCAGTGGTACGGCTTGCGGGGTTTAGTCTTCAGGGTTTCGTGTTTAGGATTCAAGCAGACACCGCTCACGAGAAATGAGCTATCCCAAGAATGGAGTCAAGCATGTGTCGGCTTGTTCGTTCCGGATGAGTTGGAATCTCCCTTGCAGATCGATCTTTGGCATTCAACGCAGAATGTAGCAAGAGTCCTTGACAACACCCGGAGCGAAAGCAGCCCTTACCATATCACATTTGCCAGCTTCCATCTGCTGTGCGCGAGGAGCTTCAATCTTGTCTCCGGCAAAGCACAAGCCCTGCTTGACTGCCTTGGGAAAGAGTTCGCCGATCCCACACAGACCGATGTGGGCATGTGCTTTGTCAACGAGGCAAGTTGCTTGCAGGTCTGCGCCACGTACTTGCCGGGGTTTCATGTGGTCTTGGCGAGACATTGGCATATGCCCATACCCCACCATGTGTGACCTTGTCCGAAGCTTGGTATGTCGTTTCACAGTCTTTGGAGGGAAACTGCCTGGTTGAGCTCTGGGCCGCGGTCTTACGCGGTCATGCCACAAAACCTTTGACAGGCATGTCTGAGCGTTCCGCTTGCCAACCTTGTGAAGACCTCCTTGGGGATAGACACCGCTGCCGTTTCGGGCACGAAGGCAATGCCAGAAAAGCCACGCGCCTTGGCCAAACATTTGTGGATGAAGTGCTCTTGCTACGGGGATTGTAGACTCGCAAGCCGAGCCGGTTTTCACAGCTTTGGGAGCTGTATAGAACGCATCACTGCTGGTTACTGCTGGCCTCCAAGGAAACGATGCTTTTCACGCGTTCGCAAACCGCGGTGCGTGCAAACTGCTGGTGGCGACGAAGTGCGCAGAAGAAGGCCTGGATGTGGCAGACTGCACGGGGCTCAGTCTTCTTCTGAGACAAGCTGTCGCACGGAGCCAGTGAGTTAAAGTCGGTTTTGACACAAAAGTGCTGGTTGCTTGAATCTTGCAGTCACACACACACACGTGTGCACGCATACGTGTGTTTATGATATATATATATATGCACACACACACATACGTACATAGATACAGACAGACATTGTGTATGTACAATGTACGAATGCCACCCATGTCTCCCAGGCTCTTTCGTGGTCCGCTTCAGCCGATTCCACACAACTCGCAACCACATTCAAGGTGTCGGTCGCGCACGGGCATCCGAGGCGAAGGTGGCACGGACCAGATTTGACGCCAGGTGTGAGGTTATAGGTTTGCAGAAGGGCTTAAGGTTTAGGGTTTATAATAAGGTTGAAGGTTGGGTTTAGGATTTTGATTTGATTGTCAACAGACCTGCGGTTCTTGCGAGATCCCGGCTTGGGACTTGATGTTGTCGAGCCATCGGGGTTCCGTGCCATAGTTGCCTTAGCAACAGTGCCGCGCCCATCATTTTGTGATGATTTCGAGGATTTCAATTTCTGACTGGGTAATTGTCTACTAAGGTGAAAATCGTTTACTGCGGGTAGAATTTCTGATAGTACGGCCCAGCTGTGCCAGGTCTACTACTTTGAGAACGAACCACTGGAAGAGTGCAGCAAGGAGGAGATGATGTACGATGTCGCAGCCGAGCCGGACGTGATCCCATCAATGCTGTCCGCTGTGCCGCCGCACCGACGCGTTCCTATGCTGGAAAGATTTCTGAGCCTGACGCACTACACACAATGTCGCATGAGGAAGTCTTTAGCCTCAAGCCCAGCTTGCTGAGACAACTTCTAACCCGCGCAATCCTGACCGGGACCCTCCGAAGAATTGAGCCCTACAGTAGACGCCATGCTGAACTGTAAACCCGAATGTTCTATCAGCTCGAATCCCCTGTTGAAGGATTCTTGTCCCCTGGCTCCTACAGCCCCAAGTCAGCCCCTAGCTTTACACCAATAACCCGTTTCAAACATACTAAAAAACATTGTAACGCAGCAACCCTTTAAAAACGTTGTACAGCGTATGAGACCCTATAGAAACAAAACCATACAAACCTCATAAGGCTGCTGCGCCAAGGTTTGGGAGGGTCTGCACCCGTACATCATCCCGGAGAGCCTTGCAGAGGTCTGTCGGGGCCCAGCTTCCACTGCTGTCAGGGATTCATATCATGAGAAGGTCTGGGGTTAGGGCCTAGGAGTTTAGGGTGTAGGGCTTTAGGGTTTAGGGGCTATCCACCAAATCCAGGTGTAAAGAAGGGTTCCGTTCAAGGGTTCCTGTACAGATCCTATTAGGGGGTTTCCTCCGAAGGGTTTCGGCTGTGGGATTCCTCACAAGGCTCCAAAGAAGGGTTCGAAGGGTTCATATATTGCCAGAGAAGGGGTTTAAGGTGTAAGGCGCGGGTTTGGGTCCAGGCGGCTGAAACTCAACCTTTATCCGAAAGCTCAAAATTGGGTGTATGTTTTGATCACTTCACCTTCAGCCTGCACCGTCCGTTACTTAGGTCTTCGGCAATCCTATTGCATCCTAAGCCTTAGCTCTACAGTCTGCAGCTCTTTAGATTTCAACCTGCGGTAGCTCTGATACTGAGCCGTGAGGCAGGTAAACAGGGCGGAAAATAAACCATCAACGGCAATCTCGCAACAATGAACGGTATTGAAATTAGCGGCTACCTTTGGCAGCATACAAACAGCTTCACCAACATCAACCGCAGGAGAGGATATACTGCTAGCAAGCGAAATGGCCCACCAACCACAAGATGTGAAGAGTTATGTGGCCGACTGCATGGGAGAGCACGCCACCTTGAGCACGTCTGCCCAGACAAATTTTCCGCCCCGAATGCTAAGGCCCTTAGCCTTAAACCCTGAATTTCTGAATCCTGAACACTGGCTGAGCTCTAGACCGCATAGGGAACCTCGGACCTAAGCCCTGCAAGGTTAACCTGAAAAATGCCGTCCCGATCCTGTCAGAGTATGTTGCCAGAACTACATCGGGGAAAGTCCAGCTAAAGCAGCTACTTGGCACCAGAGGAGCTGCGGTGCGCTGAAACATCTGAAATTTTGAGACCCCAGATCGTAGACTTTGTCACCTGGGAGGGTGGGAAAAAGCCTTGGCTTCAGGCTCTTCAGGTGTTTGGTATATCGTACGTCAAGAGGGCTTGAGGGTGTAGGGCTGCCTGGCAGTTGGAAGCCTGTTGCAAAGAGGGGCTGCTCGAGAGAAGCTACGATGCCCTTAAGGGAGACCCCTGATGAATCAAACCCTCTCCCTTAGAAAGGACTGACACCGGGATCCGCATTTTTGGGACCGTTAAGGGATGTGAGGCGATGAATCCGGGGTCTACATGCAGAAGAATCCAGACCTGAAGCCGAGGCTCCGTAGCGATTCGCACTTTTGCCTTCCCGGCCCGCGGGGGTGGCTGAAGATTCCCATGGTGGAGGCGGCTGTGTCTAGCCTCCGTCGAGCCATAAACCCATAAACCCCACAAGCATCGGTAATTTTAGAGTTTCGAGATGTTTTGAGCACCGCAGGATTCACCAAAGGTTCGAGGGAAGCCTGATTGCGGCAGAACCGGATGTTCAGCGCTTCGTACCCAGACATCTCTTGGTTTAGGGTGTATGGCTTTCTCAAAGTGCATATTCGTGCAGCTGTGCAGCAGCACCAGGCGTGATTCAAAGGATCCAATGCCCTTAACTCGGAAACCTTAAATCCTGAGGCCCCGCACCCTCTCAAAACGAACTATACTTACCTAGACCCTCCATCTACCCTCTAAAGGCCCTAAATACCCTTAATTTGGGACCATATACCCCTATTTGAGGGTACTTGGAGGGTCCTGGTATTACAGAACCCCAACTGGAGCCGGTACGGAACCCCTGACAAGGAACTGTCGTAAACCAGGTCGAGGGTTTCTTTCCGCAAGAGCGAGATGTCAAGCCGACCGCTGTTTCTTACTACGTGGGCGTCCTGGTTCTTCATTGCCGGGGCCGCTCGGAAGAATAGAGACTCCAAGAAACCCCTGACATCTTATGCTCAAGTATGTCGCACATACCTGTAACAGCAAAGGTACCTATCTATCTACCTATCTATCTGCCTATCTATCAATCTGTCTATCTATCTATCATCCATCTACCTATATCTGCGTGAGGGATCCTGGTCAGGTTTGTGAGGTATATCCCTATACCCTAAACCCTAAAACCCTAAACCCTAAACCCCTAAACCCTAAACCCCTAAACCCCTAAACCCCTAAACCCTAAACCCCTGTAATGAGGGCTTTTGGATGTCTTGGGGTCTCTGGTCCCTGCCGACTCTGCACTCGGCTTTCTTTGAGCGCGACGAGTTCGGCCATGGCCCCGTGGAGAGATCAGCACAAGGGTACGTCGCTTAGCTGGGGGCAGTTAGGGCCCCTTTTTGGGGGGGTCCCTGTTATTATACGGGTACCGACGACTAAGGGGACCTAAAACGGGACCCTGATGTAGAGAGCTACCCACGTCGCGCTTTGTAGCCTCGGTTGTTTGTGAGAAGTTGTGGGGCTTGAGGAGTTGGGGTAGGTTTGGGACTGATGAAAACAGGTACCCACACAAGACTGAAGCATTGACCAAGAACCCCAACTTGAAACCCCCCAGAATTCCAAGCCGGGAATTGCACCAAGGGGGCCCCAAGACCCCAAACCGATGAATCCGGATCTCCAGTCCTTATCCCGAAGGATCCGCCGTGGACTTAGTATGCAGTGGCGGCAATCTCAAATAGCCTCGTACGCAGAAGATGCCCTTCTGCCCATCGGACGTAGCAATGCCTGTTACTACCAGCCTCCTAAACCCTAAACCCTATTCTACTGCACCGTATGGCCCGAAATCCACTGTTGAATCCGTACGACCTTTCCTTCCAGACAAAACCATGGAACTACCACAATAACATGCTGTTAAGTCGTGTAGGCCCCGGGATACCTATTTATAAATCATTCGGAGCATTGCAATAAATCATGATACAGCAATCATAGTCTTTTGTACAGATTACGATACCTTAAGTGTCCGGTGACTAGTGGACATAGCCGTTTCTGGGCGGGGGGGTCAGAATCTCTATATACAGCCAAAGAGTAGCATTTAACAGACTTCCAGGCTTCTGGGCCATTAAAGATACTGGCAACATCAGGCTCATCACATCTAATAAGAGTGGCCATGGTCATGATATGTTGCACTTCAGGCTGTAAGCCGTCAGAGCCCTGCAGCTATTGCTCATCCCCGGAAAGGCTGGCTGGACGAACACAACTGTGTCTCAAAGAAGGTCAGTAGAGCGAGCCACGAAGCTGCTTGCCTTTGTGAGACCTGGTTGCTGTCGTTGGGAGGTGCTTGGGGTGTTCACGGTCAGAGGGTTTAAGTAAGAGAGATAGAATCAGAGAGAGAACGAAACAGAGAATGATAGGGGTTGGGAAGGTTTGCGGCTTCTGGAGGCCAGAACTATCGCGAAGGGTTCGGCTCTTTGGCTGTGAGCCTTTTTTGCAGAGTCGGCCCATACTGAGACTGTCGAAGAAGAAAAACGTACATAACCCTCCAGGCAGTCGAAGCCCGTCGCTTGAAACGAAGAACACGACAAAGAAGGAAATGTAAGAAGTTTACCTGAGCTCTCCGAGGGGCCGAAATCCGAAAGCATTCACCCCGATTCAGCCCGCAACCTCAAAAACCCCAAGCTGCAGACCCTCAAGCCTTAAACCTAACACAATGAGCTTCTCTCCCTACACCCATATTTCATATGTTTTGCTGAATCAAGCAGGGGATGATGCCTTAAGTCATAGTTGGTAGTTTGCAGTTCCTGCGTGCTGGAAAGGATTAACCATGCAAGCTGGTCAAGGGATGCTGCATCCGCAGGGCAGTGCGAGGGAAGAGATGCAGCATGAATGCAAATTGAAATGCTTCCTAGACCCTCCATCTACCTTCTGAAGACCCCAAATACCCTTAGTTTGGGACCATATACCCCTATTTGAGGGTACTTGGAGGGTCCTGGTTGGGAAATTTACGCTGCAGCTCAACGCTGCCAATGCGACGTGAAGATGATCTTGAGATGCTGAGAGAGGCTTGCAGTGGTGCTTGTGGAGTGCAACAACTCGCAGGGCAACTGCAACAACACGTAGATAGAAGGACCATTCTGTAAATTTCAAGAAGTTGGAAGAGATTTGCTTGATGACTGAGGTTAAATTTACTCCTCTGGTACTTTCTGCAATCAACGCGTGAAGCTCGACGAGCTTGTCATCTTCCAACTGTTCTCGTGAAGTAACCCAGCAGTGCAGGCCCGTCCTTGCTAGGTAGGAGGCAAAAGAATTTGTTTCCCTACGGTGCGACTTGGTCCGGGCAAGTGGGAACAAGACCATAAGGTGGACGGGAGGCAAAAAAAGACCACTAGGCCGACAGAAGGAAACTAAAGCGCTGAAGCTCTAAAGCCCCAAACCAGACGAGCCGCGGTTCAGGTTGCGTGGCCAGAGCCGGAGGGGGAGCCGGAGACCATTTCTCTTGGCCCCATGGTCTTCCCGAAGGGTCTCCTCGGGAATCTGGGTGGCTATTCGAAGTTCTTGTTGCCCGTTTTCCTTGTGGTCTCCCTGAACTTGTTCAGGGAACATGCCCAGAGAGCCCAATACCCCTTAAATAAGGAATATACTTTAAATCATAATAATAAGGCCCCTTGAATTTAAGGTATATTCCTTAATTAAGTGGTACTGGGCTCTCTGGGTGTGTCTAGTCGGGAGACTTCTTAGTCTCTCGTATGACTTCTGGAAAGAGGGACCTGGGCATAACGTGTTTGGAGGTTTTCTGGACTACAGCCCAGGAATCTGCCTTCCAGCGACGCCCTGGCGCAGCCCTTCAGCTAGCATTAGCGGGTGTGGCTTGGTTGTTTTTTTTTTGAGTTTTGTATTGGCGATGCAGCGCGCATCTAAACGCAAGGGATGCTTGAACCAGGCGGTTTGATTTTGTGTCTAAGGGGCGTAAAGGAAGCAAGGTACCTGAATGTCCCCAACCAATCCCTGTACACTGTAAAGGAAACAAGTCCCTCAACCACTACTAACACTACTGCAACTGCCCGCATCAGCCGGATGAAACGCATGCTCTGCCCTGCTTGAAGGATTGAGGGTCCGAGTAAGAAGGATATCCAAATTTGATGAAGAGCAACCTAGAAGTCGGAGACGGGCGAAGTTTCCTCCGGCGCTTTCGTGGACAGAAGCTGGAGCTCTAGGATAGTTAAACATCCGGGGGCCATGGGAGGGAATTGGCTTTCTGGAGGGAGGACAGGCTGCAGCTCACGGCAAGCATGTCTTCGCAACAGCATGCAGCAAAGTCCTTCCGAGTCATAGCTACTGCTGCTGCAGCACTCCTCACTCCCACTCCTACTCCTGGCTGCGCAGGTTTCAGCAGCGCGGCAAGGAGACCAGACGGCAGCACGAGGCTAGCGGCGCGGAGCAAGTCGTCATCGGCCAGCGATGGCTCCAGGTGGATGAAGTCTACAACACACAGGCTCGGCAAGGTCGGGATTTAGGTATGCGGACTTTTGGCAGCAGGATGTGCTGCTTCACTACTGTTTCGCCAGAAGGTGATGTTTTCGCGTCTGGCCTCAGAGGTATATCACGCGGGTGCGACTTGGTTCACGTAGGGGGCTTGTTACATCTTAGCAAAGTCGTACCCTGCACACTTCCAGCTTCAAAGGCCGGTCTCGGTCACTTCACCATTCGGCTTAGCAGGGGTTTGCGACCTAGTCATGGGAAATCTGGAGCCCCAGAGACGAGTATTACAGTATTATTGTGTTGAAAGTTGTGGCCAGGAGACCGTCAACTGGACCTTCACTGACGGGCGAAGCGTCTGGCAGGGTCTCAAGGCGCTGGCACGCCGCGAGGTGGGATCTGGCTGGCCATGATAAGAACCATAGCCCCCATCACAGTGGCAAGAAGAACAGGAGAAACTCACATCAGGAATGCCGAGCGTAACATCTTCCAGCAAGGAAACGTAGTGAAGACCTGGTCAGAACTGGGTTGTTTCAATTGGGCTGTTCGAGTCCGGGCAACTGTGCAAACAGCGTGGTGTCTATGATGGACTTGATTTCGCTTACAACTGCGAACCTGCGGGCCTTCTTCTCTTGTAGTCATCAGTCGGACGAGACGTCATTAACCCAGATCTAATTGATTTTGGCATGGCTCCCTATCACACAACTAATACTAGGCAAGCATGGCCCACTTTGAAATCGGCGAACCGAGGTGGCTTTCGGGGACATCACGAAAATCAGGCCGGTGCGCGACTGTGCTGGCAATGCCTGCCTGCTTCACTTCGATTCAGCATTCGCTTATGAAACACATCTGCTCATCTGCTGCTGCTGCTGCTGCTGTTGTTTTTTGCTTTCTTTAACATGCTGAAAAGCAAGAATGCAAGATTCCAGGATCCTGACGCATGAAGGCTCTATGTGCTGCGCAAATGCAAGGTAATATAGGGGTCTTAATGATAAGAACAGGGTTTTCTGGTTATATTGTACTCTAGAATAATTAGTAAAAGGAACCCCAAAATGCTAGTGGTAATTATTTTGGCCCCTATTTTACACACTAGTGCCCGAAACCGTCGACCCCCTGCGAGGGTGGCGTTGAATCCGGACGACGGCTGCTGGTACTCTGCAGACAACCGCCGGCTTTTCAGCATCAAGGCCAGCAGCATTTGTGTGAGGTTTAGAACTGAGTATTGGGAATGTAGAACTTGTCTATCCTTTGGCCAGTGGGTTTCGCTTCATCAGTTTTGCATATTATGTGTTTTTTCGTGAAGGCGGTGTGATGCTTCGTGGCCGGTCGAAGCACAGATTTCGTTGCACGCCTGCTCCACCGGACTATCTTTGCAAGCTACGCTCATACTGTCGCCAGCGACTGCTGCCAGGCAGCCAAGTAGAAACTCGATTTTCGGAAGGGCCCACCCGCGTATGAAAGCGCAAAAACTGCCCAAGCTCCAGACCCTGAACTATTCATGACCGAGAAGCCGACGAAACCACAAATGCCTGAATCAGCAACCTTGAAAAGGAAATCCCTGCTTGAATTTTACGCGCGGCAGACAAAGACAGGCAGATAATGACAGAACTACGCACAGAGCGAACAAACGAATGCAAGGGAAGGAAGTAAATGAAGTACGGAAAGGGGAGAACAACATAGCAGCGAAATAAATCAAGAAAGAAGAGAGTCGGAGAGAGATAGAGAGAATCAGAAGGGGTTGCAAGAAGCAGCCCTATGGTATACTGTTTTCAGCACATTGACATCTGACATGCCCCTGTCGACGAAAACCTTCCACACCTGGGACCCTTTAGAAATTGAATGTTATGTGAGTGTGAAGAAACTTTGCATGAGAATTAGGAAGGATATTTGCCATTCTAAACTCTTAACCCTCTTTCCGAGGTGGTGGGGCCTCTCATCGGTGTGACAGAGATCCTCGTGGATGAGATCAATTGGACGCCGGCAGCTGGGCGTGCTGTCGGTTCTGTGTTGAAGAGAGATCGGCCGGGTGTAGTATAGAGTGCAGTAGTCTTTCGAGCAGGCGAGTTCGAACAGGATGTATTCATGCAGTTACGGATATTTGTGTTCAGAAGAGATCAACCGCAGACCGCAAAGTTTGGTTTTAGCTAGTTTCCGAGCGGCGACAGTCCACGGAGGAGATGAAGAACAAGCTTGACCAGCACGCGAGGCCGGGCCGGCGGACTATATAGGGGCCGTGCTGATAAGAATGCGCATTCAGGGCAAATTAAGGCACCTTATTCAGGGAAATTCTTACTACTTCTTCAGGCCCCGGTTTCTCGGCTTTCAGCGTGTGTCGCATCACAATGGTTGGTTTTCTGTAAGTACCTACCTGTGTGCTCGGGCCAGCATTTTGTGTTGGAAGGGGGTGTAGGTGAATGCGCAGCTAGAAGGCATTCAGAGATTTAGATGTCCGGGGCAGGTCTTGTCCGACGGGTGCCTTTAAACTGTAACCGGCCTATGCGCGGGTCTACAGCTTCAACCTTGTTGGCAAAAAACCGCGTCCGAAACACAACCGTGGTTTTCCTTCTAGTCTGCCCTGGCAAGGTACGGAGAGGTGTGGCGCACAGATGCTGCTAGCATCAGTCAAGTGCGCAAGCAGCTGGAGGACCTCCGTGGTTAATGCTATCAGAATAGTCATGATACGGTTGGTGATATAAATCCTGCACTACCTTAAGGACCCTAAACTATGGGAATTGCGGTAACTTCCTTATTATGGGTAATGCAGGATTTATATCATCAGCCGTATCACCCCAGCTAGCAGTGGTGGTATCAATACTACGGGTCATGATGGTCACAACAACAAGAGGAGTCATGAGAAGCAGAAGTTCGTATCGACGTCAGTTTGCTGCACCTCGCCCTGGCTTGAGGTGTCTCAGTCTTCTCGTTTGGAGTTCATGGCTTGGTGTATGATGCTTCGGGTGCAAAATCACCCTTAACGAACCCCTATAAAACCTCAAGCCTCTAAAACCCTAAACCCTTCACTTTGCCCCGAACACCTCGTGGGAATCTTTTCTGGACGCCTGGGGCATTCATTGTTATGGCGAGTGCGTCTGGAGTCGATTTTGCTTGGTGTTGTAATGAGCTTGCTCTGTGGGAATCCCTAAGTTTCCACTCTGGGTGCATGCGACAAGGAAAAAAAAACCTTCGGTTGTGGTGAAGTCCCGGGCCGCTAAACCTAAACCCTAAACCCGGCCCCGGTATCCTCAGCCATGCGAGAGGGAATAACAAAACCGGCCCCGGGCAGGACGAGCTGCAAAACGGCCCCGCCCCTCTCCCGAGCAGCTCCCTCGACCCGAAGTTGATCGCCGATGAGGAGGAGATCGAAAAGTTCAGACGGTAAGATCGTGACTAACAGTGTTATGTTATGTTCTGTTATGTTCTGTTCTGTTATGTTATGTTATGTTATGTTTTGCAAGACTAGTACTATCGGGCACGAGATTGCATGACATTTCATGGTGCTCTGGCGTATGAAATGATGTTTTCTGACATGACATGTTATGACATGACATGATTTGCGGTTTTATAACGTCATACAGTAGCAGTCCCCAAAAACGGACACATTAGGGTTCAACTGCTAACGCGAGTCCCTTTGAGAGGATGTACATATAACCAAGAATAATTCACGTTGAGGGGTCTTCGGTCGAGTATCATCAGAGTGAAATAACCTTTCGGGGACCCCCTCGTCACCCTTTTTTGGAACCCTCCCTGATAGGAGCCCTTACAGGAAGATCTTTTCGGCACCCTAGCCCCTAAACCCTTTATGGGAACCTCTTGATAAGAACAGCTTGCAGGAACCCAAGCCCCTAAACCCTAAACCCTTAAAAGGCTCGAAATGAGCTGAAGGGCTCGAGATGAGCCTTGAAACGCCAGTTGCTGCCTTAAACCTCTAGAGTTCAACAAACCCTGCAAAAAAGGAGCCCTAAGAGATCCTTAAACCCTAAACCCTTAAACAGTACCCCGAAGACATCCCCTAAACCCTTGAAGAAGCACCCCGAAGAGATCCCCTAAACCCCAAACCCTTAAACAAGCAACCCTGACAGATCCCCTAAACCCTAAACCCTGAAAAAAGCAACCCTGACAGATCCCCTAAACCTTAAACCAATTAGAGATCCAGGAGATCCTAAACCCTTAAAGAACCCTAAGCCTTAAACCCTTAGAGATGCAGGAGATCCTGGGAAAGGCGGCAGACCTGGCAGAGACGGAGGAGCTCGCCTCCGCCACAGCGAGCCCGTCGAGGCAAGGTCGTTGTTATGGTGTTTTTTGTTTTGTTCTTTTTCGGTTTAGGGTTCAGGGTTTAGGGTGTTTCGAACTGTTTTGTTCTTTTTCGGTTTAGGGTTTTAGGGTTCAGGGTTTAGGGTGTTTCGAACAGGGCTCGGCTTTTAAGGGGTCCTAGAAGGGTGTTCCTCACAGGGTTGCTATGAGGGTTCTGTGTAAGGGATCCTTCAAGATATTTGTTGGGGTTTAGTTGCAGGCTTGGGGGGCTTGGGGTTTTGGCAATTCGGGCCTGGTTATGGTTTGTGAATTTCAGGTTGGACATTGGGACCCTAAACCCTAAACCTTAACATATTGGGATTCGGGCATTGCGTGTTTTGGAGTGCCTACCGGAACTTTCCCCTCTCACCGTTCTTCCGCAGGTCGAAGTCGGAAGTGCTCTCATCTAAACCCTATAAGCCTTACATGGGTTTAGGGTTTAGGGTATGAGGTCCCCCCGGGTTATCTTGTTTCAAGCTTTCAAACTCCTATAGGCAGCCGCACCGAGCCCGAATGAAACGCCTGTGATCGCGCATGCAACGGTTACAACATGGGTCTCTTCGAAGCACCCGTAGTCCGAAGAACGCTTTCAGAAGGCCTGAAGCCCATAAGATACTATAGTATACCATAAAAGACTATAATATACTACAGTTTTCTTTTGGTATGCCACAATATACGATGAAATATACCATAAGATACTATGATGGGCTATAGCATAGCCCCTGGAGCAAGGGAGAGCGCGCCCATCGTCCTGAAGCGGCCGTGCTCTTTCCCTCCGCCGCGGCACCCTCCCAAGGTGCGTGAGGTTGGCTTTAGGGGATCAGAGCTTGGGGCTTAGGGTTTAGGGTCTAGGGTTTAGGGTTTAGGGTTTTTAGGGTTTAGGGGTTGCAAAAGGGTCTCGGGCTTAGGGACCATTGGGATTTGAGGGTTTCCGGGTTTTAGGCTTACTGCTTTGGGGTCTTGGGTTTAGGCTTTTGGGGGTGTTGGGGTTTGGGGCTTTCGGGCTTTCAAGTTCTAGGGTTGAAACGCTTGTTTTTTTCAGGGATTTAGGGCCTAAATATTTGGACTACGGTCTTGGGGGCTTTGTACCTTGAACACGCAGGTGTCGACAGGTTTTGGCAGGCCTTTTGGTGCTGAAAGGTGCTAGATTGAATCTAGGCCCTAGATCTGCATCCCTTAGATTCCCATCTCGAAGGCCAAAACCGTCAAGCACGATTTTTCATCCCAAGCGTAATCTCCAGAGGATGGTCCAGGTCGTCAAAATTATTAAACTCCCTATGCCCGAAAGCTCACTGATAGATCCAAAATTCTGCTACACGAAATCCGAAACTCGCGTACCTCCATAGGAGGTCCTGCTTGACAAAATGCAGCCTTATCTCACCTCTATCCACATCATGGGTGTTGACCCAAGTGCTTGCCAAGTATACCGTGATCCAGCACGGCGAGATAGTTTCGCAGCAACGCCACCCCCCAAACCAACTCACCCCCACGCCTGAACCTTCTGGACCTGAAGCTTTCTACAACAATCAGCAGTGGGAAAAGGTCCAGTAAATGCTCAAGAAGAACATGTGACCTGAATCCTGAAATTTGAGCGCTTACAACAAGCCCTCTACCCTTATAGCGCCATAAAGCACAGAACACCATATCACATAGTATGATCTAGCATGGTGTAACATGGTACAGCACGTCAGCACAATATCACGATGAATCCTGGAAGCATGCGAAAAGAAGCAGCGTGAGCCCTCCAGGATCCTGGGTCAACACGGCCAATCCCGGAGGACAGGAATCAGGTAGGGTTTAGGGTTTAGGGATTGAGGGTTTAGGGTTTAGGGTTTTAGGGTTTAGGGTTAAGGGGAAAGGGGACAGGAATCAGGTAAAAGGAAAGGGTTAAGTGCGCAGGGCATCGGGATTTTTGGAGCTCGGGTTAGAGCCGATGTCGAAGTGAGGGCATGATACGAGAGAGAGATATGAGCGGGTATGACAAGAGCACTACAAGCGTATTATAAGGTCAGAAAGTGTGATTTTCAGGGCACGCCTTCGGCCCCTCGAGGATCATCAAGCTGCTTCTTCTTCCACGGAGGAGCGTCCAAGGATGCCCCCTTCGATTCCAGATCCAGCCGATGCAGCTGCTTGCTGAAGAGCTCTAGGGTTTTTTTGAGCTTCGAGTTGGCTGCAGAATCGGGTTCAGGGCCGTGACTTTGCTCCATCTGTGACTTCGTAATAACTCACCTGAAATTCCGCTAGACTCGTATGGATCTGTCTCTTCCCAACTCATGTTGAGGGAACTGCAAGCCAGTTCTGGTGCCGAAGGTTTGGGTTTTTGAGTTTGGGGCTTGCTGCTTAGGTCTGCGCGGCATCGACTGGTGTTTGCGTCAAATAAACGCATTGGCACTTGGTACACGGGTCCATGTGCAGGACGCAGTGCTTTCTGTCAAAAAGTTTTAAAACGGAAATTCATAAGGCCAACCATGAGACTTTAATTAGCCTTAGCGAAGATCACAGGGGTAGCTTGAGGTACCTCTGAACCAGCACTGAGCTGCAGAATTCTTGCATTCTCTTCCGCCACAATAGCATGACCCGGGCCGGTCCTGGGCGGACACCGGAAATCAGAAAAAAAGGGTTCAGGATTTAGGGGTTTAGGGGTTTAGGGTTTTAGGGTTTAGGGGTTAGGGTCTAGGGTTTAGAGGGTTTAGGGTTTTAGGGTTTAGGTTGACCTCCACCCCATGCCGTTGAAGATTGAGTACCGGGCTTTGGGTGCAGATCTTTTGCCCTTGTTCTGGTTGTGATGGCCGGGCAGAAAACTGCGAGAAGAAGGAATATGTGCAAAAGCTATCGCCGTGATACCGACCGCAGCAGCCCAACGCGACAAACCCGCTATCAGCGCAGCATGCATATCTACAGGTCCAATGCATATTATATAGCCAAAGAGCCGTTGTTGCCCAAATCGAACATGGGCCGAGCTCGACCCATAAAACCTCAAAGCAGTAAAAACGTCCCTAAAGCCCCCAAACCCCCCCCCCCCTAAACCCTAAAACCTAAACCCTTAACCCTTAACCCAACCCCCGAACCCTTACTCTCCCAAATATCCTTCGCCCCCACACCTCCCAACCCCGAAGCTGCTAAAACCTACACCCCCTGTGGTACCCCTAAACCCAAACCCTAAACCCTAAACCCCTAAACCCTAAACCCTAAACCCTATAAGCCCTAGACCCTAACC